ACTTCCGTCGATAAGTTTTGGCGATGTAACATACAGCATAGAGACAATTAACAATACTGTACTGTGCTGTATAATTGAAAGTGGCTAAGTGAGTAAATCTTAAGTACTTGTCACAAGAAAAGTGTAGGTATTTTGGCAACCAATGTTACAGTCATCAATTTGCAATATATACATATTTCAAATCATGTTGTACACCTAAAAAAATAAATTGAAACGAATATTGGCTCTGAATGTCACTACCTTTCACTGTATCATTCACAGTGTGGAATGACCCCCTTCCATACTGACCAGCTAATCATTGGCATCATCATTAGATACTAGAATATATTTAAAAACCTGTACAAAGCAGTTGTATTCAAAATTGAAACCAGGTACCCTAAAGCCTAATTTAAAAAGCCATTGGAGAAAGGCAGTAAAGAGAGAAGGAATAAGGTAATCATACATCGAGTTGGAAACTGGTTCAAGATATAACGTGATTTACATTAGTAATCTAAAGAAAAATAATGATGGGGGTAGTTGTTTGTATACAGCCCCCCTTTTAAGAGAAAATCTAGCATATTGTTCCTATTTGATACAGAGAAAGCAGTTGGCTTATGTATCATCAAAATCACAGATAAAAGGATTTGCAGATCTTTTCAGCATAGGCTACATAGGTTCTGGCTGGTCACTTTTTTTTTTTTAATGTTTAATTTTGAGAGCACACAAGCAGGGGAGGGACAGAGAAAGAGGGAGACAGAATCTGAAGCAGGCTCCACACATTAGCACAGAGCCCGGCATGGGGCTTAAACCCACAAACTGAGATCATGACCTGAGCCCAAGTCAGGGATGCTCAAATGACTGAACCGCCCTGGCCGAAGTCGCTTTTTAGCAAGTAGAACCATGATCATTTCAGTCGAGCAAAGGGAATTGGGTCACGTGGGCTATCACGCCTTCAAGTAAAGCCTAAAACCATGGTGAGTGTCAGAATTTAAAGAATATTTTGTCCATAGCAAACCAACTTTACCCTGTCTTATTTTGGTGCGTTCATTTTTTTTTTTTT